ACCCGCCTTTCACCCGCTGCACCACCAGGGAGGGCCTGTATAAATAAATAAATCTTTAAAAAAAAAAAAAGAAAGAAAGAAACATAGCGTGCCTAAGTGACACAAACGGAAATAGAAAGAGTGGGAGAACAAAAAGATAAGTGGAAAATATGAGGACCAGGGGTGCCCAGTGTCTGAGCTAATTTCCTTCACCATTATTCTGACAGTGCCGCAGGACTGGAACGAATCAGTGGTTAATACTCTTCATTTGAATAAATAACCTGCCCTAAGAGGCAGCTGCTGACTGTGTGGACAGCCTTTGGAAGTGTAAATAAATCGCATGTCTTCTCTGAAGATGGAATACACAGCCCGCGGAGGGGCACAGCGAGTTTCTGGGAAGCAGTGCCCAGACAGGGTGGTCTGGACTGCTCTGTCCTCCCACTCCTGGGGTCTTTGTTTCCTCCAGGGGCCGTGACTCGCCAGCTCTCGCATAAGGAAATGATTTACTTCCGACGAAGGGGCAAGCAAGGCAATATCAGACTCGGCCAGTTGTGATTTCCAGGCACAAAGTTAACGTTCATCTCAACTTTAGCATGCCAGAGCTTTCGGGGCAAAAGAGACTGGGCTCCCTCTTCCTCGAATTAGGAATTATGCATTGGCTTCTTGGTCAATGTCACATGTCAAAAAATAAAATCAGAATTAATGTGGCTGGAGGGGTTATTTTCACAAACAGGGCCCTCTATGTCAGCCCAGGCAAATTTAAAAAATGCAAGAGGATAAATATTCGTGGGGTTTGGAGGAAATTTGAATTTGATTACTTTTCTCCTCCTCATGCATTATAAAAAGGGATAACATTATTAAGAGAAAAAGGCCTCGGTAAGATTGGCTTTAAATATATTCTCACTCTTGAAATAAGTATAAATGCTCTGTTATTTCCATTAAATATACAGTAGTTCATCATTGCGTTCTCAGCCCAGTATAAAGCTCCTAATTCTTGAACTGCTTTTGGTTTCTCAGAGGAAAGGAGACATCTGCACGCTCAAGAATTAGCTACCTCCCCTCTGGACTTAAGAACTGTGTCTATAGAGCTGGAGAAAACCACAAGGAAGTGATGTGGAGATTCCAAAAAAGAGCGTGGGGGATGGCAAGGAAGAGATGGAGGAAGCAGGGCGGAGGTGGCTTTGTTTTCTCTGCCATCGTTCTGTTAGAGAAATGTGTACGTGCCCTCCAGGCTGAGAGTGCGGCTGAGAACAGGCACTTCCATCCTGTACCTTGACAGATGGGCAGGTTGTCCCACGTGCCGTCCTCATGACATAATGAAACCATGTTGTACAGGTCAGGGTAGCGGATCTTGAATCCTTCGTGACAAGTGATGATTAATTTATCTCCATGTCGGTAGGTCTTGTTGTGAATCTCAGCATCTTCAATTTGGGGGATGCGGCAATCTGTAATGGCATGAAAAGCTCACGTTACTCTTGGAATCACCGTGGTTGTGGTTCAACTAGAAGGTGCTTAATTCCAAGGGCCGTGCTCATCTATGCAGCAGACTCTGAATGGCCCCTGGTTCACCATGAGGCTCAGCTCCCAAGGACAAGCACCACCTGCTTTACAGAGAAATAGGAAGAAAGACCCAGTACACAGGGGTCCAGTCCCTGTCTGTGACCCATCAACCCATATAGCTGAGTTTATGGATGATTTTGGAAATAAACCAAGAAAGACAAGCATCGGGGACTCTCCTGAAACATCTGTCTGGTTCCATTCTTTGCTGTGGCTGTGGACAGACACACACAGCACAAGCAGCCAGCCTGCCCGGCTCTGCCTCCCCACCCACAGCAAGGGCCAGAGCCTTGACATGAAAATAGGCCTCCGGGAGCAGCAGGGGCCAGAAGAGACTGCATTTGCTATTAGCATTTCCTAATCACCTTACCTGTTTTTAAAACAGGTAATAATAAAGAGTGAAATAAATGTGCACATGAGAGTTAGACTATCAAAAAAAAAAAAAAACAGGTAATAATAAACAGAGCAGCACATCCTAATACCAACAGGACAACGGCTCAGCTCAAGCAGCTACATTGCCTGCTGAAGGGGAACTAAGAGCAGAACACCCGCAGGCGGGAGAGGCGCGGCGGGCAGTCAGGAGGGCAGTGGAGGAACAAGGAGTCATGCATCAGAAAAGGTAAGACAAAAACAAAAACTGATAAATGATACCTATCCCTGTCTAACTACCCCCTTCCAGTTTAGCGGGGACCACATTATGCCGCGCCGCCAAACTGTGACCCTGCTCCCTTAAGCACGGCCCACCTAACCTCATCTGGCTTACGCCGCACATGTTAGCACGCGCCTGTCTCTTCTGGGCACACCTCTGTTCGCTGTCTCTGGTTCCACATGCGCATACGCTTGAGCTGTCTATTTCTACTTTTAAGGTAAGGAGACTTACCACAGTTAGATTACAAGTGAGCTTTAGCTACGTCTTAATCCTTGGAAAACAAGCAAAATCCCAGAATAGCACTTTGATCATCACAAATATCTCCTCCAGAATTTTTTTTTTAAAGATTTATTTATTTGTGCATACAGAACTGGGGTACAGGCCAGAGGCTCAGGGGCGGCGAGAGGCTTCACCAGAGACAGAGTGGGGAGCAGAACAGGCAGATCGACGAAGTACACTGCTGAGGGGAGCAGCGGGCGGGTCAGGAGAGGTCTGCCACGCCATGTGGTCTCCTCTGGGGCAGGCGGGAATCGAACTCATGCGGAAGCGGCTTTAGATTCTCAGTGCTGTGCTTTACCCCGCTGCGCCACCAGGGAGGGCCTCCAGAATTTTTTTGATGTACTAAAACATTGCATGTTTTTCAGCCACCCTTCCTCAAAGTTTATTGAACCCATGATATGCACGATATGGCTGGAATAATACTCCTAAGAACCCTGACCCTCGAGTTCCTCTAAATTTTAAGCTATTCCAGACTCTGAGCTCTCTGAGAAGGTTTAAAAAGAGCAGACTCCAGGAGCTTGGAGGTGGGGTTGCGGCAAGTATATGGGGAAACAGTAACCCTGGCAATAGACTGCAGAGAACAGAATGTCAGTGATGGAGAGCTCCAGATAGAAGAGGGTCTCCTTGGCAGAAGGGGGTCCTGGCAGCAGAGTGAAGCAGCAGGGGACCTCACTGTCTCTTAGGGGGTCATTGAAGTCAAATGCTCCATGTCATCTAACCTCTCTCATCCCCATAACTCAAGAGCAGAGACGTGCTAACTGCTTGGTCTGACCGTCCCTCGACGCTGCCAGACTTCAATACACGCCTGCAGAGAAGAAAGGCTTGAGCATCTTGTGGTCCTCTGCCTGTGGATTCTACAAGCCCACAGCTCCAGGAAGGTGATTAAAGGGCTTTGGGGCTTGCCCCATAGGGAACCTATCATCAGTGTCCCCCTCTGCTTCTGGATTTCAGTGGAGAGAGTCTTGACTGCAGAACTATTTCAATTTTACCTGTCATCTTGGCAATTCAGGCAAGGAAAAGGGGTTTTCCAAATGTGTATGTTTAACCAATTTTGTTTTCCCACTAGAATAGCTAAATTTCCTAAGTCAACCCCCCCACCCCCCGCCCCGAAATCCTGACTAGAGTCACAAGACAGCTGACAACTCTACTGCCTTCTTCTTAATGGGAAAATGTGAATTATACTTTTTCAATATCATGATGCAGAAATTATTCACAGCAAATAAAAACACATTTATCAAGGCATCCGTCTGTAAAATCTTGCCTGTAAATAGATCTTGTGGCAATAATTTATATGACTAAACCACTGTTTCCATGATTGACTTAAAACTTGTTCAAGTGTTAACCAGGTCGTGTGCTGGCTACAGCAAAGCCAGTGGACAGAGTTCACATGGACACGGTGCCCAACAGAATTGTTAAAAGTTACTTGGGGCCCTCCCTGGTGGTGCAGCCGGTAAAGCGCAGTGCTGCAAGCTGGCTGCAGCAGCTTTAGCGCAAGTTCAATCCCCCGCCCTGGAGGGGACCCACATGGCGCAGCAGGCTTCTGTCTTGGCCCCTGCTCCCCTCAGCAGTGTACTTAGTCGATCTGCCTGCTCTGCTCCCCACTCTGTCTCTGGTGAAGCTCCTCACCACCCCTACATCTCTGGCCTGTACCCCAGGCAGGTCAGTAATAATAAATAAATACAGTCTAATAAAATAAAATAAATAAAAAAAATAAAGCATTTCTACTATTATTTTTTTTTTTTAAGTTACTTGGAAAATACTGTTAGGGAGGTCTGATCGTGCCAGGGAAAAGCAGATCAGCAATCAAAATTTTGGCATATCGACATAAATGGGCATTCTGGAGCTGTCACTGAAGGGATAGCAAAGGCTTCCATTCTAGAAATCACCTTCCACCAGCCTCACCCTGTCATTGTTTCCAGAGACCATGGGGATTTGATATAATAAATAAGCAAAAGAGGGGAGAGTCCCTGAAGCAGCACTACAATTTTGTACCTCAGGACAAATGAACTGATCAGCCTGGCTGGCAGAGTCCTAAAGAACAAAGTGGTCATCATAAAGAAATTTTAAAGAAAATGTGCTAGCAAGTTTTGTTTTGTTTTATTTTTTTTTTTACAACATTATATGTGAAAAGGAATCTGATTCCTTAAAAGTGCCAAGTGTTCACATCAATCCTCCCCAAAAAGTGTTTCCAGGAAGGCAAATAGGTGATATACACTCAGAGATGCACAATTCATCTCAGTATGTTAAAGGCTCTGAATGTAGAGAATTCGACTGGATTTTGTTGAAGCCAGCATTTGTAAAGCTTATTATTTATTCATCCATCTGTTCATTCATTCAGTGAATTATTAAGCATTACTCTAGGTCCAGTATGTTCTAGTGCTGTGGAAAGAGGAAAGGTTAAAAATCTTACTGCTATGGTGCTGCACAGAGGGAGATTTCTGGCAAATTACAACAGATAATGAGTTAGAAAATAACAGGCAATGATCTCTGCTAGAACAAGGTAATGTGGTAAGAATTGACTCGGGAACCCTTTTAATTTGGGTTGATAGCAAGGGTACCTCTGAGGAGGACATTTATTAAGATGAGACCCCAAAACAAGGAGAGTTCAATCATGTGTACATCTGGGAGAAGAGCATTTCGGGCACAGGGAAAAGCTAGTACAAAGGCCAGGAGAGAGCCCAGTGACCTTAAATGTATAAGAGGGGCCCTCCCTGGTGGCGCAGCGGGTTAAATCGAAAGCCACTTCCGCATGAGTTCGATCCCCGCCTGCCCTGGAGGAGACCACATGGTGCGGCAGACCTCTCCTGACCGGCCTGCTGCTCCCCTCAGCAGTGTACTTCGTTGACCTGCCTGTTCTGCCCCCCACTCTGTCTCTGGTGAAGCCTCTCACTGCCCCTGCAACTCTGGCTGTACCCCAGTTCTGTATGAATAAATAAATAAATCTTTAAAAAAAAAATGTATAGGGCCCTCCCTGGTGGTGCAACGGGTTAAAGCACT